CCCTGCTGGCACCCTGACCACCTGCCAGCTGTAACGCCCACCTTCTCTGCAGCAAGTTAACCTCACACGAGGCCTCAAATTTTCTCTATTTTCTACCCAATGTCTAGAGTTTATTAAAAATGATAGACACATAGCAGGTCATGACACTTTGATGTGGCTGAAACCTAAGGACAATAAAAATGGACCTAGGGGGATCCAGATAATGAAGTGACTAAATCTGGTCCAAGAACCCGCTAAACTCTCAACCTAATACAAACAAGACTCTGGTAACCAGTTAGAATGAACAGAAGCAGCAGATTACAGAAATCAAGGTCGAAAAATAAATGCACATCTGTACTGATTGAATATGGTAAAGAAATATGGTGTTAAGTATTCTGAAATGTATTACAATATCCACATAACTCCACACATTCATTCACACATTGTCATAATTAACACGGGAACATCTTACCCTTCAGTGTCCATAGTTCTCTGTCTACTGATTTCATCAAGGACACGTACTTTCTTCACCTCCTCTTGGAAACTGTCTTCCTCACGTTCTTTCAGAGATCCCGATGCAGCATGGTGGTCTTGCATTTTCTTTTTACTCTCTATAAACATAAAACAACTGGCTTTGTGTGTGCACATGTGCACTCAAGAGCTTGGCTGTGCCGGGGAGTGGAGAAAGGAGAGAATTCTGAAGGCAGGAATCCACTTTTTACCTTCCCAGTGCAAATTCATTGCTATTACAGGCATGTTTCATTTTACTGCCCTCCCTGGTAATGCATATTTTTAAACAATTGAAGATTTGTAACAACCCTGAGTACAGCAATTCCATTGGTGACATTTTTTCCTGGCAGCATTTGCTCATTTCTTATCTCTGTGTCACATTTTGGTAGTTCCTGAAATATTTCGTTCTTTATCATTTTAATTAAAACAGGCATGACATTCCTTTAAGGCAAAGCCTAATTCAGCGGAAGTCCCTAATTCTCAGCAATTCTATAAACCCTGAGAGAGGTGAAGAGGCTTCAGAAGAAAAGTGTGAAGCCAGCAGGGGGTTGGCCCATGAAGTTTAAGGCAAGATTCCATCTCCACTGCATACTTGTGCAAGGTAAGGCAGGAAGAGCTGACCCAGAGGCTGCTGCAAGTGCTCCAGGAGATGAAGCTAAGACAGCTAATGAAGGTGGCTGCACTAAACAACAGGTTTTCAATGCAGAGAACTGCAAGGGGAGGCCACCCAGCACTGTCACAGCTGGAGAGGAGTCAGCGCCTGGCATCAAGGCTTCAATGGATAGGCTGATTTTCCTGTTAGCGGCTAACAAAGCCAATATTCATTTAACATTATGAAAATCCTATGTCCCATGAGTATCAAGTGAAATCTACT